TCAACTAGGTAGCATCAACAATGCTACTGATTATGTTACTTATTTGGGTAATGAAGTGTCTGCAAGCAAACAACCAACCAAGCTCAGAGAGCACCAAGGACCTTCACAGACCCATCATCTATGCATGTGATACTTAGCTGGTTGCAAGGCTGCAAAGATCTGCAACAACAAAATATCTGCAACACTGGGTAGGTGGAGAGGCTTTAGTAATCTTGCTGTCACATAATAATTACAGAATAAGAGTCATTTCAGGTTTACTATGGATAGGTGAAGGAGAGTGTCTCAATCCTTTTCCTCTCAATTTTCTTTTTCCTGTTTTATTGTTATAAGAAACCACCTTGAAGGAGATTAATGTTTGCTTATAAATGCTTCAAATAAACATTTTCTGGAGCTGATCCCTATTACTGGAAAGAAGAGTCCAGGACTGTTGAATCAGATTCAGCTCAGCAGCTGTTTAATGGCCAATGTAACTCCCCTTTGACTTCAGGAATATGAATCTGTGTAGAGATATAGATCGTAGATTATAGAGTACCCTTGGGTTTGTATCTGTAAGTTTCATGCATATATATAATTACTATCATCCTTTTTAGCTCCACCAGATTAGTGTGGAATTTTTAAGCAAGCCAAAAATATAATTAATACTGGTGCCATTTTGGAGGTGGAATTTAGCATAAAGGAAAATAAATATAGCTCTGAGTGGAATGAAGTCTAATCACATATTTTCAAACAAACAAAATCTGTGGGCTGCATTTGAGGTGAATCCCTTCTTAATTTAGTGCGAAGTTTATTTTGTGTCTCTGGGTCGGGGAAGGAAACTCTTCCAATACTGTAGTTGCTGTGAACTTTGCTGGGGATGCTACACAGAGTTTTTTTCTTTTCCATGGGTAGTATTAGTCAACTTCAAGAGACGGGGAAAATACATCAGACATACAGCTCTCCCCTCCTGTAAATGGGCTGAAGAAAAGAACGGCAGGCAGTGAAATGCCCACAGAAATGTCAAGGGAAGCATTTCAATAAGAATAACATTTCATCAGTTCCTAAGGCCTCCGTGCCAACCCTCCACTGCCCCAAACCCATCCCTGAGACTGTGTGCAGGAAGTTGATCACTGCTGGGTTTACAACAGAGCTGGAGGAATTGCCAGAAAAAGAGTACCATTGGCATGACCAGGTGCATTGATGTAAGTGAGCAGTGAGCAGCCCTCTAGAACAGCATCTGCCCCAGCAGAAGCTGTTAGAAATGTGGCTCAGCTTCCAGGCCGGGGAGCAGGGTGGATGCAGGGCCTCTGTTGGTTTTTGCTTCGCTTCTGATCTGTTTGGGTGTTTTCTGGATGCACATCTTCTTATTGTTCGGTTTTTCTCTGTGTACATTGTAAGACACCAGAGGCGTTTGGGAGTCAGGCAGTCTCCAGATCTAATACTAACTAATCAATAAAGCCCAAGGGCTGCAAGTAGCCACCAACCCCCCTTTTTTTGTACCCCTTGGAACTCTTGCTACCACGGTGGCCAAAGGTTTTAGGTACTACTGTTTTCTGATGTTTTGAGGCAGGAAATAATGCAGAAACTATATTGTCAATCAGGGATATCCATGAAGCAGGGGGCGGTATTAAAAAAATCAAGATGGCAGCCACAACCACACAAACAAAGCCCTGCCCCTTTCTAATGTGCATCTGGAATAGTCTTCCCCCAGACTTTCAAATAGCCCTGTCCTTCCTGTCTTTAAATGGGCCTTGAAGACCTGGCTTTTTCCCTAAGCTCTGAGTTACCTGGAGTTGGTGTCCTCAAAAAGCAATTGTGCTATTTATGTGGGTGGCTATGCTGGTTATGTTGGTGCCCTGGGTACTGGCATCTTTCATCTTTTGTATTAGGCTTTCTTTTTAATTTGTATCCTTCCCAGAGTTGTTGCAAGTTGGGCAGCCTTATAAACCTGATAAACAAATAAATCAATGTGTGCTGTATGTCTATGTAATCATCAGGATTTGAGCTTGATTTGAATGAGACTTTATCTTTTCTTTTATGATAAACCTATATATTTACTGGTGCTACTTTGGGCTGTGTATCATCCAGTTTCTATTTTGCCCTCTATTGCTTTTTTCCTTTTGAATTGTGATTGTATAATACTGGTTTTAATCATTGTTAATTCCTCGAGTGGTGCAAATTGCTCTTGAAAAATAGCATTCAACAAAGCACTGGTGCCTCCTCTTGCTCTTTTTTCTTTTGTTTTCTAACAAGCTTCTTGTAGAGGTACTGGATTCTCTGGTTTTCTTGGCTCTCAAAAAAGGAGGCTGAAATTTTTCGGCGTAGACGGTGTGAGTATGCTTCCAGAAATACCGTAGCATAAATGATGCAGAAGAGAAGCACAGTGGCCAGGGCCAAGGCTGTGTTAGGAGGATTTGGCTTTTGCAAGAAGCAGTTAGAAGAAACAAAGGTCAGGTTCTGATGGTACCGCCTCTCAAATGGAAGCATTATGTAATGCTCCAACCCAACAAAACTTAGTTTGATCTGAAACAATAAAAATAATTATTAATTAGAAATGCAGAAGCTGTTATAAAGCAAAAAATAGAAGAGAATATATGTAGCTCAGAGTTAAGCTGTGGAGTCCTTGGTGCTCTCTGAGCTTGGTTGTTTGCTTGCAGATGTCTCATTACCCAACGAGGTAACATCATCAGTGCTAAAGAGTGTGGGGTTTGCTCCTGTGGGGTTTGCCCCACACTCACTAGCATTGATGATGTTACCTAGTTGGGTAATGAAACATTTGCAAGTAAATAGCCAGGCTCAGAGTGCACCAATGACTCCACAAAGCAAAAAATCCCTCTTAGAAAAAAAATAACTTCTACAAGTTCAATGAGAAGTTATACAAGAATGCAGCTCTAATTATAAACTGTAAAGCATTCCTTTCTGGGGGCTCCCTTCCCCTGGAACAGCATGGACCCCAAGTGAGAGTGGCTCCTGCCATAAAGAGAAACCTTCTACCAGCTTGCAAAAACTTGGCTGTTCAGGAAGGTCAAGTCAAGTCTATAACTTGAATGTTATAGAGCCCCAAGCACCAGGAATGACTGTTATCATACTGTGGTTAACTATTTTGTGATGTACTAGGTTTTATTGTATATGATTGTATTTATTTGATTGTTGAATAGGCATTGCTGTTCCTGTCATATACTACTAAGGGTTTTTGGACTGAAGTGGTCTGTCTGTCTGTCTGTCTGTCTGTCTGTCTGTCTGTCTATCTATCTATCTATCTATC